GAGGAGAGATAAGGACGATAGATGTTTGAAAGGAAAGAAGGAGGAGAGATAAGGATGACAGATGTTTGATAGGAAAGAAGGAGGAGAGATAAGGACAATAGATGTTTGAAAGGAAAGAAGGAGGAGAGATAAGGACGATAGATGTTTGAAAGGAGAGAAGGAGCCGACCACACCAGAGCACGTTGCTAACCACCACCATTCCTCCCCCCACCACCGCCCTTTTTAATTGGAATCGAGTAGGTCTACACAGAACTCAGTGTCCTGTTTATACTGTTATACGCTACTATTTATACATCGCTTTTTTAGTTTAAGTAGAGGTTTTACGGCGCTCGCAACTGCATAAGGTCATATGAGCACCAAGGGGTGGATGTCAACAGAGAAGTCCTTACAGGGAATCAGACTTACTCAGCTCACCTCTCTAGCTTCAACAGCACAAAGTCTGCTTCGACAATCAAGGCACCCCGGAAATAGCGGGTCACAAAAGTGTGACAAACATACAAAAGAAGTAGAGGAAAAAAAATAACAATAGTAAGGATGAGGAAGGAAAAAGCAGCAGTTCCCTGTTGTAGATCAGGCACAGTTATGAGCGTGACATTGATGAATCAGCCCATTTACAATTCTACTGTGCTTGAACGAGAAATGTCCCCCCCCTTGGGGAATGGCCTAAAGACACTTCAGTCAGTGGCACCGCCCTGGGAGGTGTACATCGCTCAGAGCCTGGTGAAAAATGGTGAAATGGTATGGGTTTAACGCCCCTATCAACACTGTTAGGTTATTTAAGGGGCGGGACCTCCAAGTTTACCGTCCATCACCGAAAGGACCGAGCCAGATTGGAAGTTCGTGTAAATTGTCTTTCCCAATGAGGACACAACGTCAGACCGAGCTGAGGCTCGAATCCCCGAACCCGCAATCTCACAATTACGAGTCCGGTAGCCTCACCACTCAGCCATGGACACCACAGCTAGCTCAGACCCTGTGTCCTTTAGTTGGGGTTGAGTGCTACATGCACGCCACACATTCTTCCATTTATTTTACTCACGAGGGCAGAGATGGGTGGCAAAAAAATCTCTCCACAAGAGCTTGTAAAGTGCTGAGTCTTGTATTCTTTAATTGGGGTTGAGCGCTACATACATGGTTGAACACTAAAGAAATGTCAAAAAACGCCATACATTTCTTCATTTATTTTACTAAGCAGGGCATGAAAATCTCTTTGGTGAAGCTTGTAATAAAAGTTGTAAACGTTCAGAGCCTGAATTCTTAAATCACAGTCCATCACCATCATCATCCGGTGCCTTGCCGACTGGCGTGGGCGATCATGGACCTCCACTTCACCCTGTCCTTCGCTGCAGCAATGGTGTCTG